TTCTGTGGGATGTCGCTATCGTCTTTGACTGCAATAAGCGTGGATAGGCTTCTTGGGCTGTTATCGGGGCTAAGATACAGACATGTGGTAACTTTGAGGCGAGTTCAGGTCCTTGTAGTCTTGTTTTGGCTTTGTAACGGTGCCGCTGCAATAACATACCTTTACAACGGCAATCTTACTATAGCTGTCGTCTGCACGGGGCTGTTACTGTGTTTAGTAACCTCGGCCTTCCGTTACACGAAGATCTACATTACACTCCGCCAACACCAAACTCATCTTCTGCTACAAGAAGACGATCACCAAGAAGGATCGAACAGAGTGGCAACTGCTATAAAAATTGCACGATGCAAAGAGACAGTATCCAGTACAATGTGGGTACAAATTACATTAGTAGCTTGTTATCTCCTATTTGGTATAGCAATGGTGATAGTTTATTTAACTGCAACTTATCCCCCGGCTCTTGCCCTCGTTTGGGAACTCACACTATCTCTTCTTACGTTTAATTCTTCTCTTAACCCGATTCTTTACTGTTGGAAAATCAGAGGAGTAAGAAAAGCAGTGAAGGGAATGATAAGGAAGACTTTTTGTCCTGTCATATACATATACTGAGAGCATGTTACTTCCAAAAGAGTTAACGCGTACATTATTTCTGAGTAATAGAGAACAAAAACAAACAAACAAACAAACAAACAAAAAAAACAGGTTGAAGGTGCTTGCATATGAAACTAGTAAACATTTTATTTTACTATTATAAGTTAAGTCTGACAAGAGTCGAGTTTCCCTTCAGAAAATGGAGACAATTAATCAAAATGAGAGGTAATGAAGATAGAACAGTTCAGCAGTGGCCGTTCTCTTAATGTATTCTGTAGAAGTTTCCAGCACTATAAGAAGAGCNAGCCGTACCATCGGTCTATAGACTGTAAAGAACATATACTGAGAGCATGTTACTTCCAAAAGAGTTAACGCATACATTATTTCTGAGTAATAGAAAACAAAAACAAACAAAAAAACAAAAACAAAAACAAAAAAACAGGTTGAAGGTGCTTGCATATGAAAGAAGTAAACATTTTATTTTACTAATATAAGTTAAGCCTGACAAGAGTCTAGTTTCCCTTCAGAAAATGGAGACAATTAATCAAAATGAGAGGTAATGAAGATAGAACAGTTCAGCAGTGGCCGTTCTCTTAATGTACTCTGTAGAAGTTTCCAGCACTATAAGAAGAGCAATAAATAACAACAGAAATCATAATTGGCTCGGATTCTGAGCGATGACTAGTATTATTTACATTAATAATAATTACAAGTTGGTAAAAGAAAATAGCATAGAAAGTGAATATCGATTGGAGCCTAGAGGCTAAAGGAACCGCAAAGTTTTCAAGGTGGCTTCTAGTAACTATGTAGAGTTAATTTTAATTTTAAAAAAAAAGTCGCAAGAAAGAAAACTAAATGGTAGCATTATTACTCAAATTTCTTAGAGTATTGTTGTGACAGTAAATAATATTTTACCTATTAGACAGTATACAATGTTCTGAGGTCTTTCAGGTAATAAGGAAAATCATGCCAGGGATCGCTTACCTGGTAGGCAAAGACGGCATTTGTTTTCCAACGGCAACACATCGCAAAAACTAATGTCCAGTAATATTTCATCTTAGGGCTGTAGCCATATTTATCTAATGCTGATTATATATATAGCACGGCATCTCATTGGATAAGAGGCACAATAATACAGTTATATGTAAATACAATAGTGGTATATGAACAGTTCTTACCAGGAACTGTTTGGCATGGAAAGTGATATCAGCCTTCGGGTTCGGGTTATAAAGTTTATCTTGACCTTGATCTAGAAGGATATCACACTAGTCCCACGATTGTTAGATAATTAGATAATTGTGGTGTATTGTATTTTGTTTTATGAAAGATAATTATTAATAAACTTAGTTGCGAGTGCAAATTAAATTATCTTTTTCAAAACTACGTAAAAAAAGAATACTATCCTAAGTAAAAAATAAAAAAAATAAATAAATAAATAAACGAAAGAAGAGGTATAATAACCAAAGGGGCAAGCACGAACGAGACCAAAAGACCCATGCAAGATGCCGCCCAAGTAGAAGGTTGATGTTTCTTCAGCCCNTTTCAGGTAATAAGGAAAATCATGCCAGGGATCGCTTACCTGGTAGGCAAAGACGGCATTTGTTTTCCAATGCAACACATCGCAAAAACTAATGTCTAGTAATATTTCACCTTAGGGCTGTAGCCATATTTATCTAATGCTGTTTATATATAGCACGGCATCTCATTAGACAAGAAGCACAATAATACAGTTATATGTAAATACAATAGTGATATTTGAACAGTTCTTACCAGGAACTTTTTGGCATGGAAATTGATATCAGCCTTCGGGTTCGGGTTATAAAGTTCATCTTGACCTTGATCTAGAAGGATACCACACTAGTCCCACGGTTGTTAGATAATTAGATAATTATGGTATATTGTATTTTGTTTTATGAAAGATAATTATTAATAAACTTAATTGCGAGTGCAAATTAAAAAATATGACATCAGTCTTTTTTTTTTTTTCTTAAGCTTTATTGGGTGTCAGTTATCAAAAAAGAATACTACCCTAAGTAAAAAAAAACAAACAAACAAACAAACAGAGAAAAAAAAAAAAAACAATAAATAGATAAATAAATAAACAAAAGAAAAGGTATAATAACCAAAGGGGCGAGCACGAACGAGACCAAAGGATCCATGCAAGGTGCCGCCCAAGTAGAAAGTTGATGTTTCTTCAGCGCCGCCCACACCAGGCCGGAGAAATTTGAAAAAGCAGCTTTATTTTTACTGTTAGGCCTACCATCAATACTGTCACAAAAACAGAGCTTTTCCAAAACGTTCTTCTCATCGGAGGAATTGGAACGCTCCGGCTTTTCGTTTTAGTGTGAACGGAAAACGCTTTAAACACGGAGCTTTTCGAAAACGATGACGCCATATACTATATTTAAAATAGTGCTCTGGCCATGAATGAGAAACTGCGCACTCGGGTCATAGGATAAAAGATGTTATGTTGTCAAGACAGGAGTTGATTTTGAGCTGAAAGATCCACGTAAATCGCCGGAAGCTTTCACTTATCACCATTAGGTCTCCGCAAAAGAGCATCTTTTGCTTCAGGGTAGGGATAAGTGTATGAATCGTTGGATTTTCGTGAAAGATTTGTGTTCTCACGCTTCACAAATAAAATTTGTTATTTTTTTCCCTAATAATAATCCTTGGCATGTAATTATACGTGTAATTATCTTTTTTACAGAATTAATTTTGAACCATGTTTTTAAGTCCATCACTTGGTCTCTTTTTAACCTAAAAGCAATAAACTTGATGAAATGGCCAATCACAACGTGATATTTCATGCGATGGTGCCAGGTATCGATTGATTAAAGTTTAAAACTCTCTCCAGTTCCCTGTGCAACTCTGCTATAGTAAGCGCCAACATAGTACTGCGCACTAATAAGCGTTGAATCCCGGAAACACCGAGGACAAGTCGCATTGAGAACTATGGCATTGTATAGTTAACATGAGAAACCACAAAAATGTCTGATCGTGACCTTCACTCCTTGCCTCACTTCCTTCATCTTCCAGCAGTACAGAAATGGGTTTAGAGATGAGTTGAACAATATCAGAGATATTTCTGCTTCCAAAGATAGGTCAAGTACTCGTGTGTGCATTTCCTTGCTGTTAAATATTGTAGCTACGATAGCAAATGGAAGATAACAAACCGCTAATGCAATTTGTACCCATAATACACTAGACACAGTCTTTTTGTACCGTTCTATGTTCAACGAAGTTCTTCCCCCGTTTGTTTGACCTTGGTGGACATTTTCTTGTACCTGTGCTTGAATTTCATTTCATTTCATTTCGGTTGCCGACAACTTGTGTTGTTTTGCTGTTTTAACAACGATCAAAGAAGCCAACATTTTACAGCTTATCTTTTCTTAGTCGTAAAATCTTGAAAGTCCGTGGAATTACTTTCTAGGTCAGTCTTCTCTGAAAGGATGATGTACATATATTTGAGCGTCTTTTAAAGATGCATGCAAGACATAACCATGTTTTTCTGTGTTTCGTGCCGCAGTGCGTTATTCTTTGTTTTCTTAGTATTATAGATAAAATTCGTAATTCAGGGATATAAGTAGCGTTATCAGCCTTCCGCTTCAGGTGATAAGGCTTACATCGACAAATGAACAACATAATCCATTTGCAATAAATGATCCAATGTTCTCCTGTTTTTTGTATTAGTCACTTGATTATAAAGTAATGTTAGATTAAAGCAGTTACGGACACTAAATACAAGAGATGATCTAGGTTCTTGTCTTTCCTCTAGTGCGCAAGCTATCTTTTTAACTTGATATAACACTCGATTTTTTTTGCGAAATGAGACATGTCAGCTGTTCCCAGCCTGCTCAATTACAATTAACACTTAGAGAAGATTCCAATACTCGAGTGTTTAGTTCGAAAAGGCAAATTGTTTTTTTTTTTTTTTTACTCTCCAGTAAAGAAAATCACATCCATTTTTTTTGTTCCACTGGACTTTCTTCCCTTACGTTTCAATATCTTAATTCCTATAGCTGATAATACTATTGTTAATAAAAACCTTGAAAGTTTTAGCTCATGTTGCTTGTAGAAAAACAACAACAACAACAACAACAACAACAAAACACACTCAAAAGGTGACATGTGTTAATGGACTCCTAATAGGCAATACAATCGTTTTCGAATGGACCAACATATACCGTTATACTCAAAATGTTTATCGTTAATGTTTGAGTCAGTATTTAAGGCTTGTAATATTGCCTCAGCAGGTAACAAATCCTTTTGCGTTGGTCGCAAATATCATTAATCTTTCTTATGATGCAAACACTCATCCTCGCCTCTTCACAGTAATTTCACGAATGTGCTAACAGTGGAAATGAACACTAAAATGTATTAGAATATAAATGTCTAAAACCGTGGGC